AGTTTTTTTGTTGTGAGAGTAAGTGATCCAATTTTGATGTGCCCGAGTTTAGCATCCTTAAATTCTTCTGGGTCTGCTCCAATTCGAGTCTAGTCTCAGCAAGCTTTCCTTGATGCTTTGTTGCCAAGATTTCATAATTTGTTGCAGCCTTCTTCAACTCATCTCTTTCCTTTGTTAAGACACCAACTTCATCTTCAAGTGATTTGTTTCGTTTGCAAACAACAAGCCATTTGCTGTACATCTTCTTATAAGCCTCTTGAATCTTCCCAAGGCTTAGGTCATCATCATCACTATCATCTTCAGTTTCATCCTCGAAATCTGTATCATCAACAATTCCACCAGAAGTCGTTGCAGACGCTGTTGCAACAGACTCTGTAACAACATTATCAGTGAAAAATAAATTTTTATCCGAGAATTCATTTCTTACAGTGAAAGCCACATAATTGCTGGTGTGATCATTTGCATCCTCTTGATTTTTGTCCGAATCAGCACTCCATGACGCCGTGGCAGCCTTATTTTTCTTCTTGAGAGTGTTTGCACACTCCGCTTGAACATGTCCAAATCCTTCACATTCTCGGCATTGTATTCCCTCTTTTCTTTTCTTCTCTTCAAACCGTTGAGAATTAAAATTCTTCTTTTGAGAATTTTTGTTCTTTGAATTCTCTCCAAATCTCCCTTTCTTGTTGATCTTTCTCAGCATTTCATTGAATTTTTTGGTGAGTAAAGTAAGAGACTCACTCAAGTCCTCATCTTCGTCGGTCTCATCTTTGGTGGACATATCATCATAATCTATGAGTTCATCAAGTCTCATCTTCTCCACGTTTTTTGCTTCTTCAATGGCTGTCACTTTGTAAGCAAAACGTGTCGGAAGTGATCTCAAGGTCTTTTCACCAATTTGGCATCAGAATATTTTTCTCCAAGGGTGAAGGCTTCGTTGGCAATATCACAAAGCTTTGAGTTGAAATCGGCAATGCACTCATCCTCCTCCATTCGTAAACATTCAAAGCGAGTTGTGAGCATTTGAAGCTTTGAAACCTTCACAATATCCGTACCTTCATGCGCAGTTTGAAGAATGTCCCAAGCTTTTTTTGCGGTTTCACACGTGGAAATCAATTTAAATTGATTAACTTCCATAGCATTGAAAATGGCATTCAATGCTTTTGAATTACTATTTGCTAGCTTGTCCTCATCGCTGGACCATTTCTCTTCTGGCTTAGGGATGGTATTACCTTCATCATCTTTAGTTGTTGGATGAGTCCATCCAGTTAAGATAGATCGCCATGCCTTATCATCAATAGCTTTAATGAAAGCTTTCATGCGAGCCTTCCAATAGGGGTAATTGACACCTTCCAGAAGCGGTGGTTTGTTCACAAATCCTCCTTCTCTCAAGACGTCCATTCCTGTAAAATCAACCAGTACACCAGGACCTCACCGAAATACACGTCAGTGACCCGCTCTGATACCAAATGTTAGTACCGGTTTTAGTCTTTTAACACTTTTTAAGACAATATGAATAATATAGAAACATAAAATAAAAGAACACGAGAGAAATGGTATCGCGGTTCGGTAACACCCTACTCCACGGAGCCACGCCCAGATGATGAACAATCCACTAAGAACTCTTTACAATTCAATTGGACTAAATCTACCCGAGACTCCCTCTTTAAGAAGACGCCTATGAACTTGCAATTTTCCCAATGGACTTGAACATCGAGATTCCCTCGACTTTAAACATTGGAATCCCTCCAACTAAGTTTTTCTCCCGAAAAACACTCAAATCATCTCTCTCAATACAAGTGCTCACCCCTGTCTCACAACCCAGTAAAAACTCATCAAGAGGCATACAAAGACTTAAGGAACACTTTCAACAAATAAGCAAGCTGTGAATAGCTTGACACATCTTCAATTAATTCGCTGAACCACATATGTTGCAGATCTTGTTGCAACTACACTGCAACATAGCTGTTACGGCCAACTTTTTTAAAACCAGACGAATCAATCTTCTTTAATTCTGAAATCTTCCACAATAAATAAGCAAGCTGTGAATAGCTTGACACATCTTCAATTAATTCGCGGAACCACATGTTGCAGATCTTGTTGCAACAACACTGCAACATAGCTGTTACGGCCAACTTTCATAAAACCAGACGAATCAATCTTCTTTAATTCTGAAATCTTCCCAAAACTGATAAACGAACCTGGACACGTTCTTAGGCAACATAGGAAGATCATCCAGCTATGAAATCTCAATCAAGAATCAATCAAATCAATTTTCCATCTTTGAATCAATGGTTGACTTAGAAAAATAGAAACTAAAATAAGTTTCTGGATTTTTTGAAACTTGCCAAAAGAAACTTGCCAGCTGCATAGACATTTCCAAACGCAATCATCCCAGCAAAACATTCTCAAAATAATGTCAATCAAATCCGATTACAATCAATACACAAATTGGAAAACAAATCCCAACACAAAATAATCAAAACTATACACAATATATGGGTGTATAAAGATATTTTAATATATTGTCCTCTAGTGTGGCATTGGTGTATCATCAAATAAAAAAGACAACTTAAGAAATACACTACGGGAAGCTGGCTAAACGTTAAATATAGAGAATTTCGAATAATGTCAGGACACCAGTACTCTAATTCTAATTTTTATACTAATTCTTGAGTTTTACTCAATGATAGATGTCTAAAAGATTGCGACATCAATAAATTGTACCTACTAGTAAAAAAGTAGCATGAGATCATATAAACATTGGGATTAGCGTTAGGTATGCTAACATTATTCTTTTATTCATAAATATATATATATATATATATAGTGCAGTACATAAGCTACATGAATCTCTCCGTTTCCTATCCTTATCATAACCTTACTCAGGGTGACAATAAACCAATTTGATTTGGAGGTAATATCTCTCCTTTAATTTTGACTGTTGTAGAAAGGATCGTTTTAATATAGAAGACAAGTTTTGGCCCCTAAAAATGAGTAGAAATAATGACAAGAGTTTGATGTGCCCGGTCGGCTAGGGTTTCAGTTTATTTTGGACCTGCATGACCTAATATATTCTTTACGTATACTAGAAGGATACCTCAAATTATGCAACAAATCATATATATTAACATTTTAGCCCCTCCACAGTTATCAAATGTCTTCTCCTAAAAAACTCTGGTTCTCTTAACTCCAATTAAAATGGCATGTTTCTGAAATAAATATTCATACGGGCATGAAAAGAGTTTTATATAAAAACAGAAGTTCTTAATAGCAAAATTTTGTTAGTCATAGCTAAAGATTTAGAATATCTTACAAAATAGCAAAAATCATTTTCAATAAAATAACTATTACATAATTTGTAATATAAACATGAACTCTATTAATTTAATTATTATAGAATTTTGTAGTTTTTACAATTATATGAGCAAAAGTTAATCAAATATAAATTACATACATGCAACTAATTGGTCCCCAACTTTTGGTCTTGAATTTTCAAGGGTATCTGAAAAGAAGAGCAATTATGTCTAAGATGACTTTTGAGGCAGAAGCACAAATGCCTTAGCTTTATTAACTTTGTCTTTGTGCTTTGAAAATGAAGTTTTAGAAGAATAATTATCAATGGGGACAATACTATTGCTGTCTCTTTTGTATATTTATTTATTTATTTGAGAAAAAAAAGAAAAAGGTTTTCGTAAAGTGTTGAAGGTCTATGTAAATGACACCTTAGCTGTTCCCTCATGACAATCCAACAGTACTCTTTAACACGTCGGTTGACAATAATAGTAATTGATTCAATAATTAATTTAATTATTAGAGGATACCATACAATTATTATTAATAATCATCACACCATGTGAACTAGACGTTGACAAAATGATGTGAATATATATATTCATATAATATTAATGTTCTCACACCCAACCTTTTTATTTCTGTTATATTTTTTAAAAGTTTATTCATATATTATAATGTCTTTTTCCAAATCCCTCACAAAAAGTTCCACAAAACAACATTTTGATGTTCATTTATATTATTCATCATATGTATGATCTGAGAAACCTCTGGAGACCTATTTTGTCACCGATGTCTTCAACATCTTTCTCATTCTGAATTTTGTATTCTCCGAAAGTGAACTGCTTATAAACTGCTGGTTCTTCACCGCAACTCTCTATAATGGCATCGTTGCTGGGGCAGTAGAAATATGCAACTGAAAACCTCTCAACTTCAGTGGCTATCACTCGGTGCCTAATGCTTTTGTAAACCCCATTGCTCAAAGCCTGAATTTATATATATATATAAATATATATATATATATGTGAGTGTGTGTGTACACACACATATATATAGATATTTTGTCACATCTCCAGATATATATAGAGCATCATGAGACTCAAAAAGGGATCTATGTACAAGAATTCTCCAAAAGGCTTTGTACTGGTAAGTACCACCAATCACTGATGATCTATCAAGTTCTTTTATTAGTATATTTAACAACATTGTTATATATACAAATAAATATACATACATGTATGTATATATGTATATGTAAAAGATTAATTGTGTACATTGTCGAATAATGTTTTCCAACTTTTCTCCTAACGGAAAAAGTAGGCTGAAAAGTTTAATAAATATAAGATCTAGTACTTTGCCTAATGGATATACGTATTATACAATATGCATTCTAGAAAAAATCTTAAAAAAATTCTACATAAATAAACACTTTATGAACTATGTACTGGTAACTATAACCAATCACTCCATCAAGTTCTTTTATTAATAAAGTATTCATTCATTTTAACAATAAATATTTATTAATTCTGTACATATGTTACTTGATTTTTTTCCAACTTCTCCCCCAAAGATTAAATTAACCCTCTTTAATGCATATATACATGTAACTCTATGAGATGTAGTACTTAATTTGCCTAATGGATATACTTTTAATATTGTATATTAATATGCATATTCTAGAAAAATAAAATTCTTTGCTGAAGATCATGACTGATGCTATATAGTGGTCATGTACATACCTGAAATAGGTCACCAATGTTGATAACAAGAGCATTTGGATTAGGTTTTACAGCGATCCATTTTCCATCTTTGAGCAATTGCAGGCCTCCGACGTGGTCTTGAAACACAACCGAGAGGAAATCGCTATCGGTGTGAGGGATGAGGCCACAGACAAGCTTGGAGGAAGAGTATGGACATGGAGGGTATCTGTTCATTCGGATATAACTCGAGTTCGGAGGACAATTCTCCTGAAAATAGGTACCGGTTTTGATCATTCCCAAGTTGTCAGCTAGAATTTCAGCCAAGGTTTTAGCTAAACCGCGTGCTGTTTTCGCAAATTTTTCCATGGTAAACCTGCATAAAACGTTATCATGAGTATGTAGGATAATAAAACCTTAAAGAAAGTAGGAAATTATTTTAACAAATTAATAGTTATCAAGAGCTTGTTTATGTGATAAGCTACAACAAACAATTAGTGAACACTCTATTCTAGCCAGCTTTGAATTCAGAAAATTACTCACATCTTTCTAATATCATGAAAGTGACTTGCATATATAGCATATAATTAATTGAAATGTACAAATTAGAGTTGCGCCATAAAATCAATATTGATCATTTCCTTCTTTCTCGTCTTGGGACAAACAATACAGGTTGTGTGTGTGTGTATGTGTGTGTGTGTGTGTGTGTGTGTGTGTGTGTGTGTGTGTAAAGCATTACAACTTTAAAGTAATATATATAATAACTACTATTATTTGTGTATTAGTTTCTGGCCTGCTGGCCTGAAGATCTTTTGCTATGCATAGATTAACTTATTTTGTTTTATATAGATAATATGTATCTATGACACAATTAAGAAGAAGGGTACCATGTGTTTGTGTATGTGTGTGTGTGCTGTGTATTTATGAGAGTCTTCTAGTAGTTATGGTTCAGCCATTTTAGCTTAACCGATAGATATATATATATATATATATATATTGTGTAACTAAAACCTCATTCATTTTTCTAGTTTGAGTTTACAACTTGAGTTAAAAAGTAAATTTATGTGAAAAAATATTATAGCACAAAAATTTAAATTTAAATTTTTGTAAAAGAAAATACTATGGCAAAAATTTCAGTTGTGATTCGAACAGGTGAAATGAAAAAACTCGCCTAAAAGATAACTAGTGTAATATCCGTTTGTGAACTCAAAATAATGTCTTCATCAACAAATGCAACGCTTTGACAATTACCCACATTGTGTTAAAGTGCAAGAAATTTTTAGAATGAGGTCAAAAAGAAGGAAACCAGTCTAGAATAACAAAACCCGAAATGACCGAAAAGGAAAAAAGAATATAAAATAAAATAAAATAAAACGCATGAGAAAGAAAGAGAAAGATCACAAAAAAATAATTTTCATATTTTGTGGAGAGACTTCAGGCAGTGATAGAGATGGCCCATTTAGCCCAACACAAAACACTGACAAATAGCTCCCCCACCACAAAGGGGTCGGAGCTCTATTTGTTCACGTGGGTACATCATGAAAACCCAATGGTGGCTTGCAGGACTTCCCGTGCCTCATTTTGGATATGGCTATTCTTGTGGGGCATATGTATATAAATATAGATATACATATACATATATAGAATCTATATAATATGAATATATATATATGCTTGACAGATGGACTGATATGATGTATATGCATATATAATTGAACCAAACCGAACCCATGCAGCTATATAGCTGAGCTGGGACATGCATCTACGTACATTCAATTTACACGGAAGTTAAAGAGAACAAACTACATCGTGACAAATGCTATAGACAAAGATAATAAGTGACAATTTTGGTGCAGCCAAGTGTCATGACTATTTGAAAACAATTCACCAATGATAGTTAAACTTCTGTCAATGGAATTTACAGGGAACCAATAAGGGAGAAAAAAAGATAAAAGATAAAATTCTTAGGGGTACTAAGCTCCTAATCAAGAGTTTCGATGTTAGTGAACTACTTAGGCTCACTTAAGTAGTGGAGTGCGTGAGTGAAATTTTGATTGCTTATGCATATAAATCGATATAGTTCTTCTATTTCAAAAAAATATATATGTATACATATATACACGCACTGGTATTGTGTTGTGCCTAAGGCACTTTGTTCTTTACTTTTATTTTTTTCATGAAAGAGAATCTCTTATATTAAGAGTTTTAAGGAAGAGAAAATTAGAGAAAACAATATATTAATGAGGAAAATTTAGAAATTACAATTGTTTCTTAAAAGAAAAAGAAGGAAGGAAGCTACAAGTTGAAGTAACAAAACATGAAAAAAGGACAAAATTGACACAAAAAAAAAAATATTCTAGTGGGGCAATTTGTCAAAAAAAAAAAAATTTTGAGAACCATATTTAACAATATATTATTTTAGAGGATGTTGTGAAAAACATATTTGACAATATATTATTTTAGAGGATGGAGTGAAAAATATTTAAGTTGAGACATATTTGAAAAAAAAAAATTATTTTGATAGGCAAATTAGAGACAACATTTTTAATATAAAAAAGCATATCAAATATAAGATTTCTTTAAAAACATAAAAATAAATAAAAGCTAAGCAGCCAACAAGTAAGGTGAAGTGGAAAAACCAATGTATACCCATTCTCCCTTCTTATAGATAGAAAAAAGAAATAATGTATCCCCTCTTATATAAATTGTAGATAGATTATAGGGTTTTGTGCTCTAATATAGTATAGAGTACCTGGGGCTTTTATTCATTGTTTTCTTTTCTTTGATGTTATATGTTTCTTTTTTCTGATCTTATATGTTTCCTAAATCTTGGTATTTTCACATCTAAATGATCCATGAACATTTTAACACCATTTTATTTAGTTTTTCCACTTTCTTTTATGACAAATTATATCTAATGTATAAATAGATTTATTATGTTTTATAATAATGGCTTTTTTATTTTACAAGAATATTTGTAAGGTACATAAAAAGATTGTGTCATCTAAAAAATCAACAAAATGTTACGTAAATAAAAAATTAATTACTTCAAAAGAATAAATAATTAATTAATGCATAAATAATGAGGAATAACGTTTTTAGTTTGGGGCTTTTATGGGAATAAATACAGTAAACTCTCAATTTACTGAATTTGATCATGCGACTCAGATTTACTAAATTTGATCATGGGAGCATATTATGGGAAAATATAAGATTTATCGAAAAATTTGATCATGGAGTAAAATATGGATAAATCCAAAATTTATGAGATTTGGTCTGGTAAATTATTATAAATATGAGTATTAACTAAATTACCCTAAAACGACATTAATTTTTATTACCCATAAAAAGATTATTTTAACTTATTCTCCTTTTGTATCTTTTAACAATTACAAAGGGAAAAGATCATTTACATGTTCAGAAATCAGACTAAAATTTCATGACAATGTTATTGTTGAGTCTCCATGTAATTCATTTTAAAATGTAACTTCCATTCATATGAAATGAGGTACCTTGCTAAGGTAGTTTTTGTGGTTCGTCGTCGACAGAGACTATGTAATATGAGAGGAAAAAAGTTGTGCGTATATAATATATACATATATATACATATACACGCATGCATACATACATACATATTGATATATTTATATATAGACATACATACATACATATATACTCTGCACTAATAATGTTCAAATGTGATCGTATATTTATATATAGACATACATACAAATATATTATGCACTAATAATGTTCAAATGTGTGATGGCTAGGGTTGTTGCAAAGTACTCTGCGAGACTTAGAATTTTAAATAGATGAATACATATTAATAATTCCAAATATAATAGAGTTTTGAAGGCAGTTGGTAATTTTAATTAAAACTTTGAAGATTTTTGTTTCTTTTTCTGCTGTATTAATTTTAGGAACAAAAGTATCTTCGTTGACCTTTTATTGATTTCATCATCAACTATGTACATGATATGGTATGTATCTAAGACCATAAAAAAAATAAAAAAATAAAAAAAAAATCCCCGACAACCCTACAGGGACGCTTCAGTGGAAGATGTCTATTTCTTTAATCTCAAGGTTTGCATGGCTCATAAAATAAATAAATAAATAAATAAATAAATAAAACTCTTTACTAGAAAAAACTTAAAAATATATCCAAAAAAAAAGATTAATGGAAAATAATTTCTTTACCTGAGAGTTTTGGACTCATTCATTCCTGAAAGATCTTCCATGCATATGTGGAAGGCTTCTGACCATGAAAGCTGCTTGAGAGAAGTAGCCTTCGGGTTACCCCAACGGTAACTATCGGGTGACAAACCAAGGAAGTTCTTTTGAACCTTCTTCTCAAAAGGCTGATGAAACACCTTCTTCTCCTCATAGTTCATGTTCTTGAGAACTTCATCTGAAATCCCATGATTCACAACTTGAAAGAATCCCCAAGTGCTTGCGGCACGAACGATTTCGTCGATGCACTTCTCTCTCTCATTTTGGTTAGGACTGAGAAGATGGCTGAGATTGATCGAAGGTAACTCATATTCCTCAACGGCAAAAGCTTTGTCTCCTTTTCCTAATTCTGGTAAGAGGGTCTTGTAGGTTTGTTGAAAAGGAGGGTCAAAATCCATGGAAGAAAAAGGAAGAGGAAATTTGATAAGATAAAGGAATTCCTTGGAGTTTTTCTCTCTAATGCTCTCAACCTACAGTGATTTGGAAGAATAGTGCATCAAGTTTTATAGGAAGGAATTAGTACACGTTTTCACAAACTTTGAAATTATATTGAAAATATTATTTATATATATATACGCATGCATGGAAAATCTTCTATCATCCCAAATAAATTGAACAAAAATATTACCTTAATTTTTGGGATATATATGTCTTTACTCCAATGAAAATTCTTATTAAGGCTAATTAACATAATTAATTTAGTTTTTCTCTTCGTGACAACTAGTCCTACCATATATACATGTATATGTACAGTTTATATACCTTAATAGCCTAACCCTAATTTTTCGGAAAATTTATTGATCTTTTATATATAGAAGAAAGAATGTCATGTAACTAAAATTTTTCCGTCAAAAAAGAATGGTAATTAAAATTCATAATTAATGCACCATTAATTTGCTAAGTATGCATGCATGGCAATCGTAAAACTAATTTCTCGTCTTTCTTTTTTTTTATTGAAAGGAATGGTAAAATTCTAATTTCTACATAATACACATATATCTCTCTCACACACACACAGATATGTATAAATATATATACCTATAGATACACAATATATGCATGAACGATTTGATTGTATCTATCCAATTGAATCAGCTCCTAGCTAGCTGGTTCTGCTGATGAAATTCCTTCCTCACCTTCCAAATATATAAAGCTGCAGAACCACTTCTTATAACTTAATTGGTCCAGTGAATCAAAGAGGAAAATTGCATATTATTAGTGAGAAAATAGTGTAAATAAAGACCAGTGATATAACCAAGGGGGAAAAACAAGTGCCGGAACAGTAGAATTTTCCGCTGCTATATATATATATATATATATATATACACGTACTTGAAAGCCATGTAATGCTAGGATCCAGCTCATTTTGTCAGTGTTTTCTCTGCATGAAGAAAGTACTAGAGTATTACTTGTGAAGGATGAGGTTATTGGGAAAACAGGACAAGGAGAAGTGTTATATAGATTAGTTAGAAAAAACTACATATAGATGCTATAGTATGAAGTTTTCATGTCCCCAATGTTTGGAAAGTACGTATTTGTGTATATATGTGTGTGTGTAAAGCTAGGCTTGCTATGGGCTTTGTGGATTCAAAGTTGGGTGAAAGATACTGTTGATTGAGAATCTATGGCTGCAAGGGCAACACGCGTTTGAAAGTTTCATCATAAAATATTATTGGGCAAATTAAGTTAGATAGAGAGAGAAAACGAGAGTTTCTTTTTGCACTTGTGTACATGGATCAAGCTAATTATTTGAAAAGATCGTATCTATAAGTTTAATCCTTTCAAATACATTATCCATATATATATATATATATATATATATATACAAATATGTAATATATAATATGTACTACTGAGTGTGGTGACCTAATAGTAATGGAGTCCAGTAATGCAATTGTGGTCACAATTAGTTCGACTTATGTGTTACTTCTTTGCAGGTATTATATATGAAGACTTGTTTTCTGATAGTTTCGTACTTGATTTAGATTGTCTGGTAATACTCTTATTGTTAGTATATTCGGTGGAACTGGAGTGACACCCTCCTACATGAGGAGTAGGACCCATCTATAAAGCCTTTAACGAACATTCATGTCCTGAGAGAGTATACCAAAATAGCGTAGATAATTTTCTCTAGTGAGAAAGGTACAGCATGCCTGGGAGCTTAAGCCCCCTCAACTTTTCCATATTTGCAATTACGTATACCTTTTCCATTTTTTGCAATTACATATACTTATTTATACCAAATATTTATACCCCCCTCCCATATTTATTATTTTATTCCCCAAAATTGGAAAATATTACTTTAAATTAAAATTAAATAATATCTCTAAGTTCTTAATAAGATATTTTCTTCCTTAATAATAGCTTGGATTATTTGTTAAAGTACGTGTATATTGATGGTCATATATAAAATGATCTTAATTCTGAGTTATTAGCAGACTTCTATTTATGGATACGTGTCTTTTGATTTACTCGGTAAAGATCTCAACACACTTAGATATTATCCTTGTATCTTGGAGACATAAAGAAATAGGTAGCCGAGAATGTTAATATTACAAGATGGAATCCATTCCTTCTTAAGAAAGAAGCAAATAAATAATTCGCTTGAGGGTTGATTCGGTACTTGGATTAGTAGGAGCTCCGATTCATGAATGTGTTTTATGAATCACTATCCATTAGAGAATCAATGGTGCTCAAGGATAAAGATGTAATTAGAGAGGTTAACGGATTTCACCTAGCTCTAATTATGAATTATTTATGGAGGATTGATCTATATGTAGTGACTATATCAAATGGACACTTCAAGTTCTTAGAAGTAAATTATGTCTATAATTTTGAGAGTGCAATTCCAAGTTTTTAGTGGAGTAACTTTTGAAATTAATAGAATTAATTAATTAATTAAAGAGTTTAATTATTTATTTATTTTATTGGAGCTCAGAATTATAAGTCCATGAGTCCCCCCGCCATCCTTGTAATATTTGCAAGACAAGATGAATTGTCAAAATTTTATTTCACTCGTGAATAATTAATTGAGAATTAATTATATATTAAATAATGTGATTATTTAATTATTTTATCACACACTGTGGTGGGACGACAGGGGGCGTGTGACACTGGAAAAAATTCTAATGGGATTTAGTTGCTTGCTTGCCAAGTAATCCAGTTTACTTGTTTGACAAGTTTTTTAATTAAATTCAAAAGGAAAAGATGTTACTTTATTTGGAATTGAATTTAAGCTAAAATTAGAAACTGGATTAAGGAGGAATTTTCTCCTTCCTTTCTTAATGTTGGCCGGCCACCCTATAGTAAAAAAGAAGGAAATTTTGTTTCTAAAATTAAAAGAGAAACTGTTTTTTTAATGAGATTAAAAATATGGTAACTACCAATTTCTTATTGCTTTGTCTACAAGCAAAGGATTCTCCTAATTATTTATAAATAGGAGACAATAGGAAATTGGAGAAGAAGATTTTTGATCTCCTAAATTCCCTAGGTTGGCCGAATTTATTGACAGAGAGAAAGAGAAGAAAAGTTCTTTCAATTCCCAATTTTTTTATATACATGCGCTGATAGTGAAGAAAGAAAAATTAGCGAGTGATCATAAACGATATTTCTACCCTAGGGCCCACACTCAAGTCTTGCAAGTTTCAAGGAGTAGACGTGAAAAATTTGGGTATTCTAAGAAAGCTTGGATCGTTCGTTAGTCAAAGAATTCAAGTTATCTTCCTAATCAATTAGATTAATTTATTCGTTATAAATTATACCTTACTAATTAGTAATCAATTAGATTAATTTATTCATCGTGAATTATACCTTGTTAATTAGAATATATATGTTTTTTTATTTGATAGAAAAATTTTCATAGTGGTTTTTTTATTAAAAAAAATATCTAACTCTATCACTAATTAGCCCCGGTTTTCTCATAAAAATAATATATGTATTAATGTGTATCATATAATCGGCTAGATATCTTTCATTCTATTATGCAATATTAATTCATTTGGTTCTCGTTCCTCCAAGTCTCTACCAAATTAGCCTCTCAAAAAAATCAATTAATTATCTCTATTTTGCTTGCTGTTCAAACACGTAGATACTCACAGATCTCCCTTGATGAAATCCATTGAATGTTTCATCTTATATAATCAATGTATTAAGTGCGGCTGATTGGCTGGCATTAGCATCAAATTCTAAAATGACATGTCGGCTATATATAAGATCATTTTCAATGTAAATACTAATATGAATTATATATTTAACATCAAAAAGTATAATATAATATATTATTTTTATTTTTGTTTTAATGTATTGTGCTATTTAAAATGCTAAATATATTTTTTTTTATAATCATTAAACTTTGAAAGTTGTAAAAAAAAAAAAAAAACTTTTATTTTTAAAATAATTAAAAAATGTAAAAATTGCAATGATTACATGAAAAAGTAAACATTTTAACCAATATCAATCAAATATTAAATTTTTAATATGCTATATTTGATGGGAAATTTACTACAAAATATAGCATATGAGAAATTTAGCACATCAAATAGCATTACATTAAAGAGTTCTTTACACTCAAATGCTAAATTTATAATTAACACATTAATTATAACATTGCATTAGAGATGCTCTACGAAAGAAGTACTTTATCTTGTACTTAACTATGAAGTAGATGTACCGTATTCAAAATTATATTTTGATTATATATACGGACAATACACTTAAATTTGGAGGGGAAAAGGCTTAATTTTTCACTTAAGATTTAAAAAAAAAATCAAGAGTTTTATACTTCAATTTTACAAAATATGATATGTATATGTTATATAATGTGTATCTATCTATCTATAATCTATAGTTATAACTTACATAAGTGAGAATGAGTTTTGTACTTGATCAACCAAAAGGTTGAAGTAATCCAATGGTTAAGATTTATCATCAATTCTTTATACACTGAATGAGTTTTGTACTTCAATCTTTTGTTTGAAGTAATCCAATGATAAAAACTTATTATCAAGTCTTTTTAGTATCTAAAGTATTTGGTTTAGATTAATCCACATGGCAAATGCTTTCTTTCACACCTCACACCTCACATTTTTTTTTTCTTTTACACCTCAAATCTTTCTACACTGTCACTTTAAATTTCAAATTATTTCCATTTTTTCTTGCTCTGCTCAAATTATTTTTACTTAAATAAGTCACTAATTATCTATGTCAATTAACATAGATAAGTAGAAATTATTGAATCAATTCATGTTAATCGAGTTATCAATTTAGGTAAAGTTTAAGTAGTACTGTTATCCTGTCAAACCTAAATTGCCATCCCTCGTGTGATGCATAAGCTAATTTCTCATTTTGCATATATTTATGGCTTTTCTCTTTTAACTGGCTTTTTTATCTTAGGATTTTGTTTCTCACAAGCTGCAATTTCTCACTGTTTTACTCCTTCATTGCATTTGGTTTTGTTTTTCTTTATTAATCGTACTGTGTTTTTTTTTATGTTTTAGTTTTTGTAAGATTTTTTTTCTTTCTTTTTTCCTAAAAAAAAAAAATTCTTTTTGAAAATATACACGTTGTTACCATATTAATCATATGATACTTGAATTGTTATTTGTCGATTAGTAAATCTATTTAGAAAATGTCTTTTACCTATTTAATATTTATATTTGTACTAATGATATTAATAAATAAATTATAGTCTAATTCCTTAAAAGAAAATAAATTATTCCTGATTAGAGAATTTGAGTCTTTTCGAAACTTACCCCGAAGGATATATATTTTACTCTTCCAATATTATTGGACGGTGTTTTATTTTTTCCATTCAAGTAAGAAAAGTATAAACTTCCAATGAAAATATTAAGCATCTTTTGAAGGTAAATTAGGCATATATACAACTTTGAAACAATTAATTAAGAAAAGAAAAGTTGAGGGTACTAATATATATATATATATATATCTTGTGGAATAGTACTGATAAATAATCCAGGCCATTACGAACAACTACAACAACTATATAAAAATACTTTTTTATAATTTTTTTTGGAAAATATTTTGTATAAATTTTGACTAATATAAAATTGTAAGAATCTCACACTGTAATTTAATAATATTTTCACTAAAAAAGCACGTTATTTAAAATAACAACAACAACAACGATAAGGCTAATTAACAGTGATAATTAGTGGACTGTCATAATTAATGGATTTTTTTCTTGGAAACAGTGTTTTACCAAGTTTTATCGTCTATCCTTTTCCAAATTTTCTGGTATCTCAACTCATTTTTCAAAATTTTTATAAACGACATTGATTTATTAATTATTACTTCGTGTGTCAATTGTTCCGTTATCATTTATCATTTGATACAACATTGAAATGATAATTCGCTTAAAAAAAAAAAAGGAACATTGATGTGATTAGAATAACATTAACTGATATGATGTTATCGGCAGCATTGGTTGGCCAACAACTGTGTAAAGATGGTTACAAATTTAATTGGAGAATTCTGACCAAGTATATGAAAAAAATACTCTCTTGATAATACACATTTTTAAACTGTCAAATGACTTAAAAGTCATATTAGATTTCACATTAAGAAAGTATGATCATTTAATAAAATTTAATGAAATTCTCATAGTCAAAATTATATCTTGCCGATAAGGTATTTTCTCATAGAGGATTATGTGATAGGGATTTTTTTTTTTTTTTTTTTGGTTAATAACAATGAGGATTATTAGTGTCTCACTCACATTCCAGTCTCATGACCACTAGTAATCTATGAAGATCACAGATGGAACATAAACGAATTTAGCAACTAGGGAGTTTAAAATCACCTCAAATAAGCCATATTGGACAAGCTAATAAGAAGTGAAATTTCAACCTCAACAATGAGAATTGATTATTGTGTGCTAGATGAGCTCTATCTTTCATGAAACGATATGCTACCACCACCAGTGGTTATATGTTAAAGGGGAAAAGATGGCAGGATCCAATAGACCATATAGTAGTAAAATTATATCTAATTAAGAAAATTATGACAATTCTCATAAGATATCTTTGTCGATAAGGTATTCTTTGAGAGAAAAAAAAATGAGAAAGAAAATTTGAGTCGATGTGAGATTGCATTAAAATTATGTTTGATAAGATATCTTTCTTATCCTACTAAAAGATTTTCTTTTTTTTTGCATATCCTGGTATGAAATTCTCTTTTTTTCAAACCCTATAATACAAATTTATGTACCGTGAGACTGCATTAAAACTATATCCGATAAGATATCTTTCCTATCTTATCGAAAGATTCTCTTTCTTTCATACTCTCCAACGAAATTATGAACTCCGAGATTGCATTAAAACTATATTCAATAAGATATCTTTCTTCTCCTATTAAAAGATTCTCTTTTTTTTCATACCTAGTACCAAATTATCGTACTTGATTCGTCACCCTAATATATTTTTGCTTTCAAATGTCTAAAACTTGTTTGCCACTTATGCCGCTATGCGTTATGTGCGGTATAAAGTGGGCTGAGAAAAAAAAAAATTTTTTTGATTCGATTTCTTCTTTAGCCGACTTAGTTGCAGTTTTTCAACACAAACTTTTTTTTTTTTTTTTGTTCTGGCAACGATGCCATCAATTGGTGCATATTGCTTGAATTGCCATTGTCGGTACTAGCCACCGAATAAAAAGTGTACTAGTGATAATAATGATAATGTGATTGTTGCGTCGCAATCACCTTGATCAAAAAGTCCACAAATCTTTTTCTAATATAAATATATATATAATATTTACGTGGGACTTTCTACGACAAGATAGGATCATGTAGTATCTGTATTTTTATCGTTAAATCTCATCAAAATTATATTAAAATTAAAAGATACATAAAATAGATAGTTTTAAATATAAAATTAATTAGTTCAAAAACAAATATCATTACTGATTCATTTTTCAAACCCTATCATAAAAATCTCATATACATATTTGCTATGAAAATGTCACAACTCAAGAAACAGTTGATTTCACATAAAAAAATATTCACTGATAATTTTTTTTTTTTAAAAAGTATTCACTGATCATTACCTCAAGTGGGTAATGTTAGGATTTTCAGGACTTTTTTTTCCTTTTTTATTAATTAAAATGACAAAGAAAAATGTAAAGGGAAAAGAAAATGCCACATGAGCGAGCAAGAGATTGGTGGCCTTTTACACTGTTTTTTGACAAGAGAGCGGAAAATAGGATGGAGGCAAAAGAAAAGAAAAGGAAAAAAATCTTTTTTTTTTCTTTTTACAATGTCATTTGCTTACATTGAGGTTCAACTAGGCTAAAATTAAGGCATCGTTCAGTTTACGGATATGAATTTTTAATTCGAGTTTAGATGTAATTTTATGTGAGAACTTTTTATTATAGTAAAAAAGTTAGATTTGACTTTTTATCAGAGCTTTTAACTGTAATAAAACTGAAATTAAAAACTTAAATTAGTGAAATAAACGAGAAGTTATCCTTTTGTTATTTTATCTTTTCAACATGTTGTAGCTGGATTGCGCAACGTTTCTGTTTTGTGTACTAGCAGGGCTACAGTACAGGACATAAATACCATTTCCTTATTTGAAAACTCCAACCAACTAGTCATCCAAACCTTCGTTTGGGGGTAAAGGAAGGAAAATGATTATTATTTAGGATTAGATTATTTAAATTGAATATAGTTCCCCACCAAGTTTCATTAAATTGCAGTGTTTTTTTTAAATATAATATGATTTTATTGTAATTCGATGTGAGAAATATTAGCATTGTTATTTCTGTCACTCTATGCATTTATTGTTTAATATGTGGACTTCACTATCTCAATTTTTTATTTAAATAATAATATATCATGTTAGTTAAATTTACGTGTCAAATAATAAATGTAAAGAGTGACAAAGAAAGTGACAGAAGTAATGCTAGCATTTGTGTCATGTTGGCAGGGACGAAAATGTCGATGCCAATAGAAATATCGAGATTCTGGCTTTATAATGGGTATCAATATGTCTCAAAGCAAAAAAGAAAAGAAAATGAAAAGATATTTGTATAATAATTAGAAACTTCGTGTAAAATTCTTTAAAAGAAAAATACATGAGCACTCAGCAATACGTAACCTACTTTTAGCAATATATAAATCCAACACATGATATCATATGTTCTGTGGTGAACTAACATATTGTTTCACTATATTATACAATCTCAACAATATATTGCATTACCTTCCAAAAAAAAAAAAACAATAAATTGCATTACAATTGCAATCGAATCCCAACATTCTCGTCATTAATCAGAATAAAAAACTAAAATGAACTCCTTACACAATGCTTAGACAATTTTAAAAAGTGATAAAATCATTTTGGTACCCCGTGTTATAATAAAATATACTCGTAATACTATGTATTTTTTATAATATTAAAGAGGTACCTCGACATTTTTAAAAACATCTTCTTAGTACCCTGAAGGTGATTTTTGAGACGTAAAATAATCTTAGTATCCTTATATCTAATTAACTAAAAACTAATAAATCTGGAAAAAAAAAAATCACCAACTTTTTCATTTTATTTTTTTCTTTTAAATAATGTTTTAAAATACTTTAGATTTTCTTTAAAAAAAATATTGATTACTACTTGATTCATGAGGATGGTAATTTAGACATTACATGTCTCAAAAATTAATTTAGGGTACCAAGAAGATATTTTAAAACGTCAAGATTATTTTAATATTATTATAAACACGGGATACCAAGAGCATATTTCGCTATAACATAGAATATCAAAATGATTTTATCCTTTTTAAAAATAACTATTGAAATGCATATGTTGATTGATCTCCTTGCTAACTATTCATAACTTCATACATTTTTGCTTCCTGTAAAAGATTCATGTAAATTGTTTACTTCTCTTTTTGAAAGTAGATGAAAGATCAAAGTCAAGTGAATTATGATTTTTATTTCCCCTCAAAGAACTTTTTTAATCATTTCTCTTTTATATGTATGGATAATATTTGATATTTCACGGATACTCAAACAATGTAGGAGAAATATTTACAAAATTATTAGCATTTGCTTCTTTTTCAAAAATTTTCATATCCTAGAGTGAAATTCTCCTAGTAACATCTAACTACTAAGTTATGTTTGGTGCACTAATGAGTCAAGATATTGAAAATGATGGATGGAATTGTCTGTTTCTTTTCACTCTTCATGCGAAGTGGAAGGAATAAGCTGTCCTATATCCTCTTATGTGAAATAAATATGTGGGCCTAAATTATTTACCTTATCCAAATTGAGGTACTAATCTCTGGATTGGGACAATTTAGACCTAGCCCACATCCTTATCCAGTGTACCAAATGTGGCCTAAAACCTCACAAGCACGTGAACATTGTTATTATGTTTCATGCTTGATATCTTGAAGGCTTCCCAACAGCTCTTGAACTATAGGTCAAGGGTTCACATCCAATCCCAAGTACGTAAGCCTTTGATGTTTATGAATAAATATCTATATATCTATGTATATTATATATATATATATATATATATATATCTTTCCAAAGTCAAAGATATTAAAACAAAAAGACAAGAGAGAAGAAACCGCAAAAGGGTTTTTGGTTGGAATCAAATACAGGAAATATACAATGCACCCATGTGTTGTGATGCTATGCTAGAACTAGATCATAATTTTTCTCTTTGTAGTTTTGAAGTGAAATCATATGACCCAAAATAGTTGCCTTTTTAAGTTTCTGGTGACCACTTGAAAGAGAAGATAAGCTCCTACATTTGCTTTCTATGGAAAGACAAAAATGAAAAGCTGTATACATGTAGCATTTTACTCGTCGTCTTTGTAAGGATACTCTTCCGGAACTTGCTTCAGGAGTTTTACCTGCAACTCGAAGGCATCGTCGCCCCGAAGCACGTCGCGGATCCAGGTGACTTCGGCTTTCATTGACACCTAAATATTGAAGATTGAAGACACTGAGAGATGTCAAGAAAGATAAAGAAACGAACAATGGCAAAAGTAACTTTAGCCCTGAGCAACCATGCATCCATATTCCTTGGATCTACTTGAGGTGCTATATTGTTAAATAAAAGCGAATACTTGTATTCTTATCAAGAGGTGCTATATTGTTAAAATAAAAGCGAATACTTGTATTCTTATCAAATTAATGACAGAAAAGAAACTATCTTCTGATTTACTTGATATTGTTATTGTAATAATCAAAGCGTGAGAAACTCATGAATAGGACAACGTTCTTTTATAGAGGAAAATACAGGATAGAATAACGTGACAAATGAAGAACCAGTGAATTTTGGTGTCCAAAATGGTGTCCTAAACAATCATATCATATGCCACATTATTTAAAAATTTTGAAAAAAATTTTGAAATGTTCTTTAATTAACTTTTATCATGCTTGTTAGTTAAATGAAGTGGCAAAATGTAATTGGCTAAGCACCATGTGGGACAGCGAAAATTGGACAGGCAATTTATATCCACACAAGTTATAATAAAAAAATGAAAGTATATAACAGAAGATTTACTCATGGTGAGCTTGGCTTCTCTGCTTCAGGTTATGTAAACATTGCTTGGGGCAAATGCATATAAAGTAGAAATCACTAGCTAGCTCCAATAACATCAACAACATAACCTCACAACATAAATCAATTCCATTACACTAGAAGAACTAGAAGTGATTTCCTCTCTCATCTAATCATGTGTTTACTTACAAAATCAATAATGAGATTTCAGTGGACACCACACAATAAGAAATGAGAAAAGAAAATACCAATTCTTACACCTCCCTCAGTATTGATTCTCGGTTAAAGTCAATGAATGCCAAATTTACTTATAAAGAGTTAATAAGTTCAAAGTTATAAGCCAATGATTATTTAATTATGTAAAAAGTCAATTTAGTCCATTTAGTAAACTCTAGAAAGGGAATCAATAATCCTCATTCTTATAACTTTATTTTCCTTTCCAATCTCATTGCCCTTTCCAATTTCGTAAACAGTTCATATAATCATACATTCTGCTGAGGTGAAAGGATATGGAAAAATAAAGAGAATAAATATTAGGGTAAAATGTGAAAGCCGGGGGAGAAAAGGATAGAACTCACCATCTCTAAGGCTCCTCTAATTACTCCACTTAGAATGTTGCAGTAGTACAGACCTTGGCAAGTATCGGGAAGCTCAACAAAGTCTACCAAAGGATTATCCTCCAAAACAATACTGCAGCAAGTTCCATCAGCATCCCAATTGGTCACAGACGCAGTCACTCCCAAGAACATTTTGAAACCAACCTGTTGTACAAGCATCGTTAGGACTGATGAAAGAAAACCAACAAAAACTATCTCATCTCAAGATAGCTAAACTTGAGCCAGAATATATGAAAAGAAAAATCATATTGACATGACGTCCCCTTGACCTGAATTTAACTACAGTAACACACCTTCTGTCAATTAATAGTCCTTTTTTGGGATTAAGGCCCCGTTCATTTCGTTGATTCAAGTTTAGAATTCGAGTTTTGCTACAGTAAAAAACTCTCAAAAACAGTCACATCTAACTTTTTTGCTACAGTAAAAAGCTCTCACACAACATCACATCTCAACTCGAATTAGCGAACCGAACGGGCCCTAAGACTCCCAAAATAAAATGCCCTTAAAAAGAATAAAATGACTTCAGTCCCTAAAATATGCATAAAATAATGTTTTTATCCCCTAAAAAATACATTAAAAGACTTTTTTTTCACTCCTAAGTTCAATTTTTATCTTCTTTTTTTTTCCTTTCTTTTGTGTTTCTTTTGGATTTTCTTTTTAATTTCTTAGGCCTTTTTTTTTTTTAAAAAAAAAAAAAAAAAAAAAAAAAAAAAAAAAAACCCTCAAGCTTTTCAGTTTGTAAGCAACGCCTTAGAATATTTTTACAAGATCTCATATCCAACTAGAACCTCTTAAATCCATCCATTAAAATATGAGACAAAAGTTCTCAATCCGATAACTAAGTAAATAATAACATAAAATCCACCTCAAGTTCACAAAATAATAATAGTAACAAAAAACTGCATTAAAGCTACTCAAAACACTTGGCTTTATTTTTTTCCCTTGAACAAAACAAGTATTTCTCACTTGCTGCCTGGATGGAACATGAATGGAAGCAACATGTTCCAGAGAATCATTTGGATAGTTTTCCTTGTTGCCTGGCCCAGAACTAGCTTATTTCTAAAATTCTTGAGTGCTTTTATCTCTTATTCTTATCACCAAATAAACATCTAGTACATCTAGTACATCAATCTTCCATCAATTGAGGGTCCATTATGCAGCCAACAAACAACATAAGAGGGGCCACTCCTGATCATTTACACAACCAAATCACTACAAAGTACCCATCAGTCCAAACTAGCATGTAGAACTTGATCACCTTTTTCCTCACTCATTGTTATACACTAGATGTAGGTCCAAAACTACTCCCATCAGTGACTTCCGCAACCTTCGTCGTGGACAAATACCATGGTATCTATGGATTATGGTTAAGAAAAGCCAAATCTCAAACGAAACAAATCGTATCTTATATTATATATATATATATATATAGCAAGATAGAACCCACGCCCTCCAGAACCCAAGCCCTACCCCACCATACTCCATGCCATTTAACTAGTTGTTATGGCTGACAATATGGGTCACAACGCGACAACACGACTCAAAAACAACACAAATTCCGCAGGTTAGGGTTGAGAAAAAAGATATTCGGATCAGAATTTGGTCGACCTGAAATTGACACGAAAAACACGGGTCAATTTCAGGTTGGACCCGCCTAACCCAAACACGACACGAAACTCGTAAAAAACTAAAAAATGCATATATTTTTCATTACATATTTTGATTTTATTATGAACTTATGATATCATGATAGTTATACTTAAAATCTTATACTACTATTTGCTTAATTTCAATAGATGTTATTGTATTTTAGTATATTATGAATTTTAAGTTATTTTTAATATGTAAAAAACTAAATAAAAGTATACAATTTTCGTGTCAATTTCGGGTTCATGGGTCATTTTCGTGTCGTGTCGTGTCATGTTCGTGTTGCGATTTTTTAAAAATTTCGTGTCACGAGTCGTGTCCGGGTTGACTGCAAATTTAGAAAGAAACGATCAAAACACGACACGTGACACAAATTGCCACGCTTACTAGTTGTCATTGGAAAACTAAAAACACCAAATCCGTACAATAGGCACTGTTAGAAATAACCAACAACAACAACAACAACAAATACAAGCCTTAATTCTAAATTAATTGGGGTCGGCTATATGAATTTCTCGTTTCCAGTCTATTGCATTAAACACGAGACCCTCCTAAAGCCCTAGAACTTGAAAGTCGTGCCTAACTACGTCGGCCCAAGTAATTTTTGGTCTACCCCTCGCTCTCCTAGTAGGTATTTGGATGTTCTCCCAAACACGAACAGGTGCATCTAACGATTTACGTTGTACATGGCCGTACCGCCTCAGACGATTTTCCCGCACCTTATCTTCTATTGGTACTACACATACTTGACAACAAATAACTTCATTCCGTATGCGATCCATCCTCGTATGGCCACTCATCCATCTTAACATACGCATCTCCGCCACACTCATCTTGTATATTTGTTGTCTTTTGATGGCCCAACATTCACTACCATATAACATAGCTGGGTAAATTGCTGTCCTATAAAATTTTCCTTTCAACTTAATAGGCATCTTATCATCACATAAAAACCCCGTGGCATTCTTCCACTTAACCCACACTGCCTTAATCATATGTCCAATATCCTCATCTATATCCCCTTCACACTGCACTATGGACCCAAGGTATCTAAATTTCCTAAAAGCCCCAATCACCACACCATCCAAACAAATTTCATCACTCTGATCTCTAAAATTACTAAACCTACAATGCATGTACTCAGTCTTCGTTCTACTTAACTTAAATCCCTTCGTCTCAAGGGTCTGTCTCCATAGTTCTAACTTACGGTTAATGCCCTCCCGATGTTCATCAACTAAAACTATATCGTCCGCAAAAAGCACATACCAGGGAATCCCATCTTGAATTACTAAACCTACAATGCATGTACTCAGTCTTCGTTCTACTCAACTTAAATTCATTCGTCTCAAGGGTCTGTGTCACGCCCCAAAACAGGGGTTAGTGACATGGAGGCTCGTTTAGAAGTTAAACATAATTAAGAAAGTGATTAAACATTTGAAAATATAGTAATCAAAACCGAAAGTAAAATATTAAAGCAATTTCCAAACAAGCCCCACATTTTTACTGAAATTAAATTACAATAAAATGATGGGGACTTTCACACTTTCTAATAAAGCAAATTTAAAACTAAACATCTGGCATCATTCGGGATCTCACCCACAGGATATACATTATTTATTGTACATACATGAATATGTAAATAACATTTACAGACGTCAACCACAGTCTCGATATTCGAAGTCTACAGTCTAAGAGTTCACAATTCTTACATAATGTGACAATGATGGATATAACATCCTCACTTGAACATACGATAGGAACTTAATCAGCTACTCAGCACTGCTTCTAGCGTCGCTAGAGATACAACAATGGGCCGGCCAAGGCTCATCCTGACACAGTGACAGGCCGGGCCGGCACGCCCCGTCACTGTTCAAGGCACGGCTCAGCCCATAAATATTGGTGGGCTAGACTGGGCCAACATATATCGGCCCATGGGCCAGGCCGGGCTAGGCCGGCCCGTCTAAGCCCATGATGGGCCGGCCCAGCCCAGCCCGTCTAAACCCATAATGGCCCGGCCTAGCCCAGCCCATCTAGGCCCATAATATTATGTTTTTTTCCTCTTTTTTAGTAATTTTGTAAACATCGTATGTATAATTATTCTTATTGTACTCTTTTTTCCTTATCAAGGTTATGTCTCATTAGGTTTTCCTCAGAAAGATTTTTATTTAATACGGTAATCGTCAATAAAATATCATTTTTCATATTTTCATTGACTATTTAAACTTATATATTTGTTAACTTGTTTAAAAATTCAAAAATAAAAAATAAAAAAAATTAAAAATTGCATGTTTAGATGGCCTGGCCCATCTAAACCCATGATGGGCCAAGATGGGCCTTGAGTGGGCCGGCCCAATCAAGGCCATAGCACAGCCCATCCTGGCTCACGGCACGGCCCAGCCTGGCCCACATAAAATTGGCCCGTAGTGTGGGCTTGGCCGAGGTTATTCTTATACTGGCCGGCCCGGCTGGGCCCACAAAATTCATGGGTTAGGCCGGTCCGGCCTGCAGCTCACGTGGGCCTAAGGAGAACGGGTCGGGCCAAGCCAGGCCGGCCCGTTCTTCCATCTCTAAGCGTCGCCTGGGAGAGGTTTAAAATATATAGAAATAAAGATAAAACATGAGCAGAAAGCCCAGTAGGATGTATTTTAAGAAAACTTTATAAACAAGTAAATAAATGAATAAGTAAATAGATAAATAAAGATATCTAGTTCCAACAAAACAGCTGGAACCTAACACCCTTTTTTTCTGAAATGAAGTATAAACTTTAAATTCTGTATTACAGGCATCAGCAAGTAATTTATACTATGATAAATTACTTACGTAACCATAAGCACAAGCCTTAACACCACCGTAGTGGCCCGGTCCAGGTTTCAGGTTCTGCCCCCTAGGATACTCTCTGCATATCCTTTCTAGGCCATCAGCAGGCTTACCAGTTCGCAAGATATCTTATCTTAAGAAAATATTCATTAAAACTTTTAAAACAGTTCATTATGATTCCAATAGCTAAAATCAAGCTATTGTGTTAAAACAATTTTCTTTATCAATCATGTCATTTCTTTAAAACATTTTGTATAGGCCAAAACTCTTAAAAGCAGGCTATTAGTGTGCCTTCAATCCGATTCCTCAACTAGCATTGATACAAAACAGCGCTTTAGGATTCAATCCTCATTCCTAAAACGAATCAGTCTTAATCATAAACAGTGATTTCCTATTAGTGTGCCTTAATCAAATTTCAAGTTTCATAAATCATTTCATGTTTCAAATTATCATTGCAAGGATTTTGATCTCAAAACATGGACTAAAGATGTTAATCCATCTACTTTAGGTTCCCAAATGAAACTAATTTGGGTTCTCTTTGAAAATCAGGGTAAAAACAGGGTTTTTTGACAAATCCGGTTCAAACCACATGTGCACCGGTCGACCGGTGACAGAGAAGTTATTCTCCACCGGTCCGCCGGTGGAGAAGGAACCGGTCGGCCGGTCTGATCGACCGATGGGGTTTAGCAGTTCGTGGAAAAACGACCAAACTATGAAGAAAAAATCCAAAACCTGCAAATCCGAGTTTAAATCTGAGATATTTCAGAGGAAAACTACTAAATCCAGGTTCCAAAGGACAAATCAAGTCCAAAGAATTAAAAATCTCCAATTTCCATCATGATTTAACCAAAATCCAATTCGAACTGAAAATAGGTTTTTTCAAAGGAAAAATTCAAGATTCACGATAAGTTTTTCAGAAATCTTACCCCAAATCCTTCCCTTGATTTTGAAAACTTCTTGAAGTTCCTCTTTGATTCAAACTTCTTGACAAATGGTGAAAATTTTGAAGAGAAAGAGAGGGAGAGCTACGAAAGAGAGAGAGAGTGGGCTAAGAGAGAGACAAACAGAGATAGAGTTACGGGAGGAAGCGGGACAAGAAGAAAAAAGAAAGAAAAGAAAAGAAAAAGGGAAAAGATAAATATCAAAAAGATATTTAGAAAAATTGATCAGAAAGTGTCTCCACACACTTCTGGGGTAGAAATATAAATATTGAAAATGTTTAAATCCCTTGAAAATATTTAAATTTACATATAAGAAACATTTAATGAACACAAAATTAATTAATTAAAATCAGATTAGGCACACTAATAATCTCAATTATTTTAATTAATCCGGTTTAATTCCTCGAGGTGCTACAGTCTGTCTCCATAGTTCTAACTTACGGTTAATGCCCTCCCGATGTTCATCAACTAAAACTATATCGTCTGCAAAAAGCATATACCAGGAAATCCCATCTTGAATTTCTCTTGTCAACTCGTCCATCACGATAGTGAAAAGATAAGGACTAAGAGCAGAACCTTGATGAAGGCCAATCCGAATGGGAAACTCTTCTGTGTAGTCTTCAATAGTTCTCACACTTGTGACAGCTCCATCGTACATATCCACTGCTAGAAATAACCAAATTTTTTTTTCCCTAAACAAATGCTTCAACCTCAAGCGATCCATACAAATCCAAGGAACTCATAAAACCAAGTTGAGGTCTATTTAGCCACATAAATTTGCTTCATTTTTTAAGAATGAAAACTCTTTCTCCACCCATTGACTGATTTCTTCCTTGGAAGCCTATTCTCCGATGAGTCCATTCACTAGCTATTTCTTTGAGAAGCACCACCTCTCTATGATAACTAAAATCAGAGGAATGACCATACAACTAGCTCGGGGATGGATGGCTTGGAACTCAGCACACGGAGGTGGCCAGCGGCGGTGCGGGGTAACAGGTTGGAGAGAGTGAATGGTTCACATAGAATTTTAATGCTTCTACTAAATGTTGGATTTTTTCCCCTTAAAGGTACGTTTTTTACTTATCCTGGTGACATAATCTAACGGTCTCCCTTATAGATCAATGGTTGAAATTTTATGTGTCATCAATAGCTTAGATCGATTTTCCCTTAAAAAAAAAAAAAGAGAGAAAAGAAAAAGAAAAAAAGGGGCTTAGGTCGATTCTAATTATAACCTCAACAGTCCAAATTATTTACGTATTTTTGTCATTTCATTCCAAAATTAAAAGAGTTAATCATAGGGGTGATCATTATAATAAATTTGGTCAAGGAGGTGTCATTGTAATATTGACATTAATCAGGCGGTGTTGGTGCAACTTTTCCTGTATAAAATAGATAGTATTGGTTAAGTTGATGTCAATTAGAAGCGGTTTCTGTAACACCATTGACCAATCAAGCTACACATGCAGAGGAGTATAAAGAAGGGAAAAGACATGATATATCATACAAATACATGAAGAGAAAGAAAGTTAAGAAACAAATATGAAGAGAAGTGTCATATTTCAGCATGGAAATTACAAATAGCTATACCTTACATACGGAGACAAATATTATGCGTAACTTAAAATTTACAACACCAAACACCTATATTTACTAGTTTTACAAGTGTCAAGTAACATATTTCGTAAAAATAACCAAAAATCATTAGTCCTATACCAAACGTAGCCAAATAGCTGACAGCTAACAGGTGTTTCTCGATAAAATTAAAGCTCAGAAATTCAACCACAGATCGTACTTGGGTTCTCAAATGCCATCTCTTTTGATGGCAAGTATACTGGTCTGTATGTCACAGACATAGACCATAAATAACCATATTCATCACAAAACAGTGCAAGCAGTAAATATGTATATATTCATTCTGTCTGTATGCCAACAGAACACTTCCCTCTTTTAACAAAGGGGGAGAAGAAAGAAAGAAAGAAAGAACAGGCAAAAATGATAAACTGGTTGAATATATCTGGGAAGGTCAATGTACCTAATACTAACCCCAAAAAAAAAAAAAAAAAAAAAATGGATAGACTGAGGATTTTTTTGTTAATGACAAACACAAGCAAGCTGATTTGACAAGCAGGCTGATTTCACAAGCAGGAAATACATCAAGGATAAGCACAAACCATACAATTTGACAAGATTCCTAAAACTTTAAGGACAAACTTTCAGACAGCCATATTGAATGTGAATTGAACCAGGTTAGAATGACTGACCTTTGCAATAGTTTCAGCTGTTTCTTTGAAATCAACACATCTGGAAACATTAGACTTCGCCAGAAATTCATCAATGAGACGAATTCCAATATTATAACCCCTGCAATGCAATGAAAACTTTTGATTATCTAAGCAAAGTCAGATTGACCCAAAGCATGGAAGAAATTAAGAACTGAGCCTCAACGTCCAAAATACATGGAAAGTAGTAAATTTGATACAGAAGCATGTTAGTGAAGATATTGATAGAAAAATCACATTTTTATAAAAAAATCCAAAACGTCCGATTTAAGATATTTGCACAAAAATTAGTGCAAATCTTCTATTTTCTTTTCCTGGAACATTAAAAGAATTGACCTAAAAAAGAAGCATAAAACCTGACCGAGGAAATCCATGTTTGGAAAAGAATTGGAAAAGAAGAAATGCACTACCAACCAAATACCTATATATCAAAATCCTTAGTTTTCTCAACAACAAATCATTATATCATGAAAGATACAAAAAGAAAAAAGGATACTTTCTAAAGCATACTTTTAGTGAAAGCCCCTAATTTTTGTTAGCTAGATAAATGGCCATTTTTTAAAAATTCAAAAATCAATAATTTACATGATTAAAAACTGATAACTTAGACACACATTGGTAAACTAATGATTAATTGATCAATTATTTACGAAGATCAACTAATAATTTATCAAAAATCAATCAACAAATCTACAAAGTCAATTAAAAAAAAGGCATTTTCTTAATTTAACAAAATTAGTGATATTTACTTAAAATAGACTATAAAAAATCAAATTACACAATAAATCAAAACTACATTCGTCTTCAGCGAACAAAACACCTAATAATGGCTGCAAAACTTTGACATTACTGTACTTTATAACATCTTAACTAAAAAGACATTTCTTCTTTTTATAATTTCCTTGAAAAAAAAAAGAAAGGAATTTGAATTGACGGAAAAGAAATCTTACATTTGATCAAGCTGTTTGTTCACCTCCTCAACCTCCTCCAGATCCGTAAGCAACTGGCGAACGATCGCGCCGTACGTCAACGTGAAAAGCTCGGCATTCTACATTCAATTAACATTTCAGAAACCGATTACACCTAAATTTCTCAAGCGAAGAAAATCAGAAAAACAACAATGGAAATGGAAATTGTAACAATACTTCTGTATTTCGAATCAGTTGCAGAGATCAACAGAATCAGAGTCTCCGGAGAGAATTCACAAGAGAAATTTCAGAAATGAAAATACCGAAAAAAAAAAAAGTTAAAAAATAAGAACTTGAACTCGGAAGAATTAAGGTGTATTTTCCGACAATCTTCTCGGGTGCCAAACGAAGATGAAGAGAAGGATTTTGCTTACCACACGCTCAACGCTAGCGAAGATCGCGTCACCGGATCGAGGACCAGCAGGTGCCATTGAAGATCTGAATTCCGATTTCTGAGCTCCTAGAGAGAGAGAGAGAGGGGGGGGGAGAGTACTGGTTTTGCGGAGCAAAGCACAGTGAAAGCGAATGGGATAGGAGAAGACTGGAGTTTGCGTGGGCTTGGGCTACTTAACGGGAAACATGGTGTTATAACCCTTTTAAAAAAGCCCAAAGCTACTCCGCCCATATGAAACCCAGCCCAATTTGCTTAACCGAAGTTCTTAGGGCTTTCACAAGAATGCCACAAATCCATGTCATGGTGATTATTAGTGATTTAGGCCATGAGAGAGAAGTATTCCTAGAAAGGGGATACTCTTTAAAAATATATGAGTTAAGATTTTTATTCTTTATTCTTAATTTATAACTTTTTTAGTTAAATAATTACGTTAATAAAATGATATTTATCAAGAGTAAGTGGTAAAAGTCCAGACTCATGTACTCTGAAAGATAAATTTTCTATTTTTTCTCCTAATAGTTAGAAATTTAGAAAATGGCCTTTTTTTTCACTCGGAGGTGAGGGGATTCGAACTCGTCATTTTATTGTGGAGTCAGATGTAAAATTATCACTAGACTATACTTGAAACTAGAAAAATGACATGTTATGTCATTTTATCATATTTAGAATATCAAGAACACCTTTAAAATATTGTTCAGTATCCTCTGCAGGAAATTCCTTGTGCGTGAAGGAGATCTCAATGAATATTCTTCACCATATGATCGTGGAAAAGAGATTTTCTTTATTGCACTGTAGATATACGAAAAAGATGGCGAAGGGGTGAAGGGTTAGATCGAGGAGCTCCACACTGATATCTTGCCCATGTAAAGAAATCTTGCACCAAATAGACAGAAAAAAATAAAGATAATAGAATAAGCCCTAATTGTCTTTGCATTGTATGAGATCTATTTTGTTAAAAAATTAACAGAATTAGATGGTAATCCTTAAATGTACATGGTTTGAGGGTTAAGGGATCGTTTCGTCAAAATCAAAAAATAGGTATCAATGTGTCACATATTAAAAAGTCAAGGGATTGAAGGTGTAAATTGCACTATAATTAATAAAGTATGTAATAGTTTTTATTGAAAGTTTATTATTAAAAAAAATTAGAATCTTATGAGTTTGGTCTCTCTTTTTTTAGGGTGTAAGTTTTCTTTTTATTTATATTCGCTCGAGTTCCTTTATATTTATTTATTCGAGACGACATTAAAGGCATCAATTTTTTTTTCTAAGAGTAAGGTCATCATTAATGATAACCGCAATATTTGTTACATATTTTTTTCATTGCAAGCTTTATTTTATTAAGGTGATATTTATTTCATCGGTTTATATTATTTGGTACTATTTGAATTGAGAATCTAATTGAGATCAATATTAGAGCGGACCTTAGGTAACTTAGGGTTTGTTTGGTTCAACAACTCAAACAGTGGAAATTTGAACCTTTTTTTGTTAGAACTGTATAATTTGAATTGTGATTCGAACTGGTATTTAGATTTACAAATAAGTTAGTGTTTGGTTGGTGGATTCGTGTCATAGTACGGATCATGGTTCGTCACTCGTTACAGTGTTTTCTCTCACAAAAAACACACGTAAATCGAGAATAGTTCTGAATTATGATTCTGAATCTATCAACCAAACGTCCACTAAATTATAATTTGAATTGAGAATAAAATCCTAACTGTATTTGGGTAAAGTGTTGAAAACTGTCATTAGAGTTTTGTAACAAATCTTATAAAACCTCATTGTAAATGACATTAAAAAATATGCAATATGGGTGGGAATTTATTCATATTTTCATTATGAACACATTAAAAAAAATCATCTCAATGGAATTAAAACAAAAACGTTATGACATATTTAAGATTGAAATTGAAAAGAGATAAAAAGTAGAATCTGAAATTGCTGAACTATTGACAACAATTTAGATTGTTAGAATTTAGAGGGAGGTGAACCCTAAAAATCAAGGTGTGAACCATTGTTAATGGTTTGAATTGTCCTTCAATTTCTCTCTCTCAAACACCAATTAAAATCTTAAACTAAGGTTTAAATCATAACTTACAGTTTAAGTTGTTAAACACAAACAAGGTATTAGACTTTTAAGCGAAATTTTTAAGAGGATTTTTTCAAAAGAATATATATAATACTGCATGGTGAAATGAAAAATTGAATATCACACATTTTATCATTCTTATTCTCTATAATATATATTTATGTCGTCACTTCATCATCCCTTAACTCATTTATGTTTTCTCCTTTAATTGTTTTTCACTTTATTTATTACATCTCTTTTACTAGTGAGTTATTTTTCAAAAGCTCATTTGAAATTTAATCAAACTTTCCACTCTCCTTTTTTTTCTTGACTAGACTTTAGTATGTGTTTCACGCACGTGATTTATTTAAAATGACAGTTATATAAATTGTTTAAAAAGAAGAAAGAAATTAAAAAAATGACATAAAAAAATAAAGACAAAAACAGAAAAAAGATTTAAAGTAAAAGATTAAAAAAAATTAACTTTTTTGTTGTATTTTAAATCAGTTATATTTTGTTTTGTCTAATTTATTTTTTATTTAATTTGGTTTGATCTTAATTTATTTTAGTGTAGTTTTTACTAATTTGATTCTTTATTCCAATTCTTTATAGTATTTTTGTCTAAGCTGATTAAAAAATTTGATGCAAAACAGTGTTAAAATGGATAAAATATTAAGCAAAAGATAGAAAAAATATATTTTAACTTATTATGTTATATTTTAAATCAATTTTTATTTTTTATTTATTTTATTTTTATTTTTACTGCGTTAGGTGGGCCTTGTTACTTTATCGCGCCAGCCAACGAACGCATGACACATGACCTAGCTGTCGGCCACTTTCTTTTCCACGTGAGATTCGCAGCAGTGTGCTCCAAAGAAAAGTCTTTAGTGCACGCTTCACGCATGTGATTCATTTAAAATAATAGTTATACAAATTATTTTTTTACAAAAACATAAAGAGAAAAAAAGATACATAAAAGAATGAAGACGAGCGCGGAAAAGATTTGAAGTAAAAAGGAAGAAAAAATTTCTCACTTATTTTGTTGCTTTTTAAATTAGTTCTAATTTGGTTTGCTTAATTTATATTTTATTTAATTTGGTGTCATTTTATTTTATTTTAATATATTTTTGTTTAATTTTATTCTTTATTCGAATTATTTATAGTATTTTTAATTTGAGTTGTATTAAAAATTTAAGTCCCGTTTAGTTCGCTGATTCGAGTTTTTAATTTGAGTTGATTTGTGATTTTATGTGAGAACTTTTTACTGTAGTAAAAAAAGTTAGATATAACTATTTTTAAGAGTTTTTTACTGTAACAAAACTCAAATTCTAAACTCAAATCGATGAAATGAACGTGTCTTAATACAAAATAGTGCTTAAAGACAAAATCAAACCACAAATAAGTTAAAATTTAATAAGTAAATATAATAATTAATAATAATTAATAAATAAAACCTGTAACTTTTATCAGCCGTAGGATCAAAATTATGGACGGATCAGATTGGCGTGTGTACTACTGGCGCCGACAAGGGCGCGTTGCTTGCGCTTGGGCTGCAACTTGTTGCGTCAGGTGGGGCCCGCCACTAACTTCTCAATTAATGAGCTCGCACCACGTGGCCAGCCGATGGCCACTTCTTTTCCCGTTTATTCTAGTGCGACACCTACACAGTTCCGACTTTTTTTGACGATTTGCAACATGACACGCGACAGTCGAAGAGATCCAACGAATAAGGAGCGCCTCTCGCGGATCCCACCGAAGAGGTTATCAATGAAAAACTGACACGTGACAGGTCTAATAAATCAGTGAATACTGAATCTTTCCCTTAACAGAAAAAAAAAGTTTTTTGGCGTGAATTTTTATTGGTATAAATCACTATACTAAGGTCCCGTTCACTTTATTAATTTGAGTTGAGATTTAATTTTATATGAGAGTTTTTTATTGTAGTAAAAAAATTAAATATAATTATTTATGAGAGTTTTTTATTATAAAAAAATTTAAATTCTAAACTCGAATTAACAAAGTGAATGGAGCCTAAATTCTTTTTCGATGTACTTCTTTAAAATATATTTTTCTCTGACTTTCAACTCGCATTAAAATAATTTTTTAAATGTGCCTCTTTTTTCCGCCTACTCCTTGTTATACCAAAAGGGATCCTTTTTAACATTTTTTTTTTCCAAATTAGACAACAAATATACAAAAGCATTTTTTGACACAATTTTTTTAATATACAAAAGCATTTTTCCTTGACTTTCACGTGACAGCTGAAGTGATCCAACGAATCAGGAGCGCCTCTCACGGATCCCACCGAAAAAGCTATCAATAAACAGTTGACACGTGGCAGTTCTAATAAATCAGAAAATACTGAATCTTTTCCCTTAATAGTAAGAAAAAAAAAAGTTTTTTAGCGTGACATTTTTATGGGTATAGATCACTATACAATATAATTCTTTTTTGATGTGCTTCTTTAAAATATATTTTTCCTTAACTTTCAACTCGCATTAAAATAATTTTTCAAATGTGTCTCTTTTTCCGGTCTACTCCTTGTTATACCAAAAGCGATCCTTATAAACATTTTTTTTTTCCAAATTGGAATACAATATACAAAAGCATTATTTTTTTCTCAAATTACTAATCTCCTTTTTAACTGTTTTTTTTTGACATAACCTTTTTAACTACTATATTCTCATAAATACATATTCTCCAATTTGCCTGCTAAAATAATTTTATTTATTTATATTATACTTCTCTACATATATGTAATATTTAATTAAAATAAGATGATATTTTGTTCATGGATTCATAATCATGATTAGAATAATTTTCGTTTTACGTGTATTTTTTATGAAAAAAAATATTATAGCGAGTCACGAACCATGATTCGAATCATGACCCGAATCCTCTTTCTAAACGTTCCATAAAAGTTTTCATTGGAATGTTTCCCCATGTTAAAGAGCCAAACTTTGTTTCTTCCCCTCCACCTCTATGCATCACCCCCTCCTCCCTTTTTCTTGCTTTGTTGTTGTTTTTATATTATATTTTGTTTTAGTAAACAAAAAGTC